TATTTTTTATTTAATTTTATTCTTTTTTTTTTTTTTTTTTTTTTTTTTTTTTTTGAAGTTGACCAGAAGAGAGACAGCGAGAGAGAAGGAAAGTGAGAAAGCAAGCTGCCAGGTCCAGGACTCAAACCATGCTCAGCCATGTGGGAGTCCAGCCACCTTAACCACCATGCCACCTGCGGGCCCCAGATCCACTTCTTTTTATTAGTTACCTACTATTTTGAAAAAAACAATGCCAGATTGGCTTACCAGTATAAGAACACTGCAGCAATTTCTACTTTCTTTTTATAAGTAGAATTACTTTTTTTTTTTTAAATTCTTTCAGCAGACATTTATAGAATCGGGCAGTGTTCTAGGTACTTGGAAATCCTGAGGGATCGGGTAGTCTATTAGAAAGGCGATGAGAGCTGTGAAGGAAACCGCAGGGATGGGCTCAGGAGGGCTGCGGCGCTAGGGCGTCAGGAGGAGCCTCCCCGAGTGGTTGCCTGTAGCAGGGGAGCCTTGAGGCTGGCTGGAGGTGCAGTCGTCCAAGCAGTGGGAACACTGGGGTGGAAGAACTCAAGGAAGGTAGGATAGGAGGGTGGAGGGGGGGTCACTTTAGAGGCTGTCGGCAGGACGCTGGTTTTAGTCCTGAGTGAAATGGGGGCCTTTGGAGAGCTTTGAGCAGAAATGCGCTGTGGTCTTACATAGGTTTGAGAAGATGGCCTGACTGCTGTGTGGGTAGTAGATCCCAGGAGCAAGGGTGAAAGCTGGGACCCTGGTTAGGGGGTCAGTGGTCTCATCTGGAAACAGGTGACAGAAACAGATTGGTTAGTAAATACTTCCGGGTAGCTATTAATTCGTCTGAAAAGTCATGGCGTGTTTTCTGGTTTTCTATGCAAAAATGTGCCATGACTTTTCTGACGACCCCGTGTTCCCATTAGCGCGCTAGGACAGCATTCCTTGGTTGTCATGGTAAAACGGAAGCAAATCAGAGCTGCACCAGGTGAAAGAGGGTGTCTCAGTAATTGCTACTGAGGCATAATTAGAGTACTCCCTTCTAGACTTCTCTCTGATAATATCCTGTCTTAGCATTTCCCTAACGTGAATTTATTTTGGAGAGGTTTTTGCTATAGGGTGCGTGCGCTCGCCAGACAGAAACAGAAAGCGAGAAATCACCCCCCAGGGGGGATGGCCACACCACAATCCCTTCTCCATTCTCCTCTCAGGATCTTGGGCACGCATGCACATGTGCCCGGTGTGAGTTTTAAGCCACTGGGTCCAGGACGCGAACCACAGTCAGCTACATGGGAGTCCAGCAACATAGCCATTACGCTAACTGCTGGTTCCCCGAAGGGCTTTCAGGAACCTGCCTCGAGAGAAGTACTGGGATGTGCCTCTCAGGAGGGGCGGGCACTTGTCCCAGTGACTCTCCCAACTGTCTCTGGAGGGGGGAGCATTTGTAACTCTCTTAACTCTCCTCTAGTGATTAGGCCTTTCACGAGTCAGGCAAACCCCGATGGCTCTGCGCAGGTCGGGGGGGAGGGGGACTCTGCTGAATTTCAAGGCTGGTAAGAAGACTTAAACCATAGTGTCGTCTTCAGTCTTGATGACAGTGGTGTTTTCAATATTTTGGTGAGAGCCTCGACAAGAGAAAGTTTGTGAAAAATGGAATTAAATACAAGTTTATGAAAAGTTTGAAATCCACGCCTAGTTTCCATAACGTGCGTTTTCCATTGCTCTTTGGAAGACCTTTGGATTGGAAGTTATCAGGTCATCCCGGTGAGAACGCCCCCTTAGAGAGCTGTCCTTGGGTTCTTCTCGTCACCACTGAACTCATCAGTGCAAGAAACAAGTTCCTTGTCCTCTTTCTTAAGAATTATTTTATTTCTCTTATTTATTTTAATTTGACCAGAGAGGGACAGAGTGAGAGAGAGGCAAAGTGAGAAAGCAGGAGATAAGCAGGTGCTTGGTGGTTATGACGTTGGACACTCCCACATGGCCAACCGCAGTTTAAGTCCCAGACCTAGTGGCTTTTTTCCTCACTTTCCTTCTCTCCCTCTCTCTCTCTCTGTGTGTGTGTATGTATGTATCTCTCTCTGGTCAAATTAAAATAAATGAATGAATAAATTAATTTTTAGGAAAAAAAGTTGAGAAAGCAAGCCACCAGGTCCAAGACTCAAACTGTGGTTGGCCATGTGAGAGTCCAGAGTCCAGCATCCTTAACCACCGTGCCACCTGCTGGGGCCTCTTTTTTTTTTTTTTTTTGTATTTTTTTTTTAAATTTATTTTTTCTTTCTTCATTTTAATTTGACCAGAGAGGAGAGACACAGACAGAAAGATGGAGGGAAAATGAGAGAGCAAGCCACCAGGTCCGGGACTCGAACTGTGGCCGACCATGTGGGAGTGTCCAGCACCCTAACCACCACACCACCTGCTGGTCCTGCCTCTTTTTATTTTTTAAAGAATAATTATTTAACTTTATTCATTGTCATTATTTTTTGTTTTATTGAAGTTGACCAGAGAGAAGGAAAGTGAGAAAGCAAGCTGCCAGGTCTGGACTCAAACCATGGTTAGCTTTGTGCGAGTCCAGCACCCTTAACCACCATGCCACCTGCTGGCACCTCTTTTCTTTTCTTTTCTTTTCTTTTTCTTCTCCAAGAATAATTATTTAATTTTATTCATTGTCATTATTTTTTTTATTGAAGTTGACCAGAAAGAAGAAAAGTGAGAAAGCAAGCTGCCAGGTCTGGGACTCAAACCGTGGTCAGCCATGTGGCAGTCCAGCTACCTTAACCATCATACCTGCCAGCCCCACCCCACCCACCCCCTTTTTTTTTAAAGAATTATTTTATTTGAGATCATCAGGTGGCATTATCATTATATTGCTGGACTCCCATGTGGCCTGGACCCAGTGGTTTGAAAATCACTGGGCACAGGTGCCTGGGTGCCCAAGATTCCAAGAATGGATTAGAAGAGATTACAGTGCGGCCATCACCCCTGGGGGGGTTTATTTCTCACTTTTCCTCTCACCATGTCTCTTTCCAGTTAGTGCTTGTGCCCTAAGGCAAAAGCCACTCAAAAGAATTATTTTACTTCATTTCATTTCTTTTTTTCTTAAAGAGACTTTTTTTGGGGGGGGGGGTTTGCTATAGGGTGCATGTGCTTGCCAGAAAGACAGAGAGAGACAGAAAGCCAAGAAATCACCCCCCGCGGGGGATGACCACACCGTAATCCCTTCTCCTCCATTCTCCTCTCGGGATCTTGAGAACGCATGCACACGCATCCGGCATGAGTTTAAGCCGCTGGGCCCGGGACTCGAACCGTAGGTGACTACATGGGAGTCCAGCAACATAGCCATTATGCTAACTGCTGTTCCCTTAAAGAGATTTTTGCTATAGGGCCCATGCACTCACCAGAGAAACAAAGAGAGAGAGAGAAATCACCCCCAGAGAGATGGCCATGCAATCTCTTCTCCTCCATTCTCCTCTTGGGATTTTGGGCACACATACACACATGCCTGGCATGAGTTTGAAGCCACCAGGTCCGGTACTCAAACCGCTGGTCCTATATTTATTTTAGAGAGAGCTTTTGCTATAGAGTATGCACTTACCAGAGAGATAAAAAGTGAGAAATCACCTCCCAGGAGGGATAGCAACACCACAGTTCCTTTTCCCTTCTCCTTTCGGGATTTTGGGCAGGCACACACACATGTCCGACGTGAGTTTCAGGCCTTTGGATCCAGGACTCAGACCTCAGTCAACTACATTTGAGTTCAGTGACATAACCACTCCGCCATCTGCTGTACCCTGTTTTTTATTAACTATTTTTTTTAAACATGCTATATGGCACGTGTGCTCACCAGAGAGAGACAATTGGGGGGAATGAGAAAGCAAGCCACCAGAACTTGAACTCCAACCATGGTCAGCCACATGGAAGTGCAGTACTCCAATCACATGCCATCCTCTGGCCCCACTTGTCTTCTCTTAAAGGATAATGGAACAAGTTGGCTCCTCAACACTTACGTACTATGAAGGAAATAAATTATTTCTCTTATTTGCTAATTGATTTTCACATCAGACTAACAGTGGGCTGGGCCAGAACTGCCTGTGTTGGGTCTCAGTCACCCCACTTTAGACATGAAGCTCTCTGCTAAGATTTTCCCTTCCGCTACTTCTGATTGTGAATTCTGGAGGTCTGGGGGAATATACGCATGTAAACCACCTTAAAGGTACTGGATCACCAAGTCGGAACAGCCGTTACAACCCGTAAGTTAGTACCTTCTCTTGCAAACTCCCCATTGCTGAAGCCTTCCCTGGTACACCATTTAGAACCTCCCTTGGGAGTTGTTAGCAGAGCAGCTGGCTTTTGCCTTTATGGCAGAAAATGAGTTGGAAACTCCACCAAGTATGCTTTTGTTTTCCTTTTGCACTTTTTGACCTGGTGGTTGTTAATAATGAGCAATTTTTAAATAACTTTTTTTTTAATTATTTTTTTAGTTTGACCACAGAGAAAGGAAGAAAGAATGTGAGACAGCAAGCCACCAGGTCTGGGACTCAGACCACAGTCAGCCATGTGAGAATCCAGCACCTCAGTCACTACACCACCTGTTAGCCCCCAGTAACTAGCCTTTAATTGTTGTCATTTTCCAAAAGCAATTACTCCCGTTTTTTTCTCACTTCTTGCAGCTGTTAGCTAAGGGTTCCAGTTGTAAAAGCAGTCATAACCTAAGTTTCAACTCCAGGCTCCTGAACAAGAATTTGGGAAAGTGAAGTCCTTAACCTGCAAAGGAGCGCTGCTCCTGTGATTAAACCATCTCCACCTTCACGTTTCTCTGAGAGTGGGTACTCCGGTAGGACTTATGCCTCTGCGTGGATGGGCTGCTGCTTAAAGTCCAGAAAAGCCATAGCGGTCTCCTCTGGGGTCAGTAGGCCAGGCACTTTGCCACACACTTCTTCTTTAGGGGAACGCTAACACCCCACCCTTCCTGCACTGTGGCGTGTCGGTAGGAAGGTGCATGTGCCGTTACTCTGCAAGGAAGATGGTGCTCTCATGAGAGCAGGCAACGGGGTTGGGGTGGAGGGGCTAATGTTCAAATTCCAGGTTTAGAGTCATCTGTTAGATAGCACTCTTCCCAGTTCTGATGTGCAGGAATGAAAAGGACATTTTGTCCAGGTGGGGTATTTTTAAATAAGTTTCCTTTCATAGTTGACTGGGAATAGGAATCAGCAGAGCCTGCAGGTGGGTGGTGGTTGAGGCGCTGGGTTCCACGTGCCCTGCTATGTGGTTTGAACCCTGGGCCCATGTGCACGCATGCCCAAAATTCCAAGAGAAGAATGGAGAAAGGATGCCGGGAAGGCCATCCCCTAGGGAGAGTAGTCTCTCCCTTTCTCCTTCTCTCTGTCTCACTCTGTCTCTCTCCAGCGAGCACATATGCCCTGTGGCAAAAACCTAAAAAAAAAAGAAAAGCAAAGAAAATAGGAATCGGCAGCTACAGAGTACTCACCCTCACCTCTTAGTGCCTGTAGTTCATCTGTCACCCCGAAGAAATGTCTGCATTCTTCCCTCCACTGTTCCCCACTTGTGTTGGCCCCACAGCCTGTTATTCTCCATACTCCAGACATGGCCAACATGAGCCACTTCAAGTCCTGGACCCAGTGGCTTGAAAAACTTCCAGTGCACGTGCGTGCCCAAAATCCCAAGATCAGAACAGACGAGAAGGAATTACAGCTTGGCCATTCCCCCTGGGGAGTAGGAGGGGTATTTTCTCACTTTCCTTCTCTGTGTGTCCGAGTGCACTCAACTTAAGCCAAATTAAGTACATAGATGTGGGGACCAGCAGGTGGCATGGTGGTTAAGGTGCTGGACACTCCCACATGGCCGACCACGGTTCAAGTCCTGGACCTGGTGGCTTGCTTTCTCACTTTCCCTCTCCCTCTCTGTCTAATTCTGGTCAAATTTAAAAAAAAATAAATGAATGAATGGATAAATAAATAATTTTTTTAAAAAAGATACATAGATGTGAAATGCAGTCTGACCAGCTGTCGGGGGAGAAAACACTTCTGTCGTTCCCTGGCAAACTCAGTACCCCTGTACAGTGTTAGCCAGGCATCTGTGTCCTGAGACGGACACTGTCAGTGCACGGCCCCCAGGATTGGTGAAGAGGGAGAGGTGAGCAGGTCGGAAGCCTGGGGCTGACCTGCTTAGGCAGAAGTGTGCTCTGAAATTAGGGGGCTGAGGCTGGGGATTGGGTAACTGAAGTTTTTGGAGCTCAGACTCTTGGCTTGGCTCGGCTTCACCCTGGTCTCTTAGACCAGAGTAGATGTTGAGGGTAGAGAAGACGCCAGAGTCTCCCAGGTCCTCGTGGTTGAGCCTGTCTCTCCAAGGACTTAAACAAGGTGTGCAGCTCTGCGTCTGCGCGCCTAGTCAGGGCCCTCCAGCCTGTGCCGGCCATTTGAAGTGTCAAAGATTTTCTTTGGAAAAGCTAGTCCCCAGTTATTAAAAAGAGGAGTAAGCAGAGGCTTAAGAGAGGGGTGCAGAGGAGTTGCCTTGGTTATTATTTCTCATCGATTGGGAAAAGGAGTTCACTTTGCTCAGTAAATAGAGCTTTGATGGATTCCCAGGATCCTTCCAGGAGCTGATCTTCTAAAATGACACTTTTTATTACTGTTCATAAACGCCGATCTCCAGGTGCTGCTGGGTATTACGTTAAGCTGTGGGCAAACTTGCCAGTCCAGCGGCTCAGCACGCCAGGGTGAGGGAGGCTGGCGTGGCATGCCTCCTGCACCAGGCAGTGGCGGCTGCACTCTGGCTCCACTGCAGAGGCACAGGGCCCGGTAGCAGCCGGTGTGGGCCACATTGTTCCAGCAGTCCCTGCCCTTGGTGAGGCAGGGCAGCCGCGGCACTCCTGGAAGGGCCAGGTACTTGTGAGACTTCCTTCCTGGGAATGCCTCCTGGGGGCATGGTCAGATTCCACCCTCCTGGGAGCCAGATCTGTCTTTGTTCATGTCAGACGGGTCTAGAACAGAGACCTCATTTTCTTAACTTTAAAAAGGGACCAAGGAGCCAGCAGGTGGCGTGGTGGTTAAGGTGCTGGACTCCCACATAGCTGGCTGCTTGCTCTCTCACTTTCCCCTTCTCTCTCTCTGTTTCTCTCTGGTGAGCACATGTGCCCTATGGCAAATTTTAAATAATAATAATAATAATAATAATAATAATAATAATAATAATAAAACAAATCATTTTTTTAAAAAGGACTGAAATTTTCCTGATGGAATCGTTGATGAACTTCTCTAAACAGTGGTAGGTGAGCTGTTTGGTGAGCCATTTTAGATACTGAATAATTACTCCTTTTTTAATTTTAGAGAGGTTTTTCTGTTGGGCGTGTGTGCTTGCTGCAGAGAGGGAGAAACAGAAAGCAAGAAATCATGCCCCCTGCCCCCCAGGAGAGATAGCGCCTTTCTCTGTTATCCTCTCTCAGGCCACACTTGACCATGTGGGAGTCCAGCGACATAACCATTACGCCATCTACTGGTCCGATACACAGTGATCTTTGTCCTTTTAAAGACTCTTACCTTTCCTTGTTATACATTTGTAGAAAGAGAAACACTGTATTGGCCAACCCTCACTGTGTCTGCGGTGCTGCCAGAACTGCTCCGGTGGTCCCCTCTGCATGGGGAGCTGAGGTGGGGCTAAGGAGGAGGGGACACTGCGAGCAAGGACATTGTGTACCACAGACATTATAGTCATGGGCCCTTTGGGCTGGACTGGGTTTGTGGCACTTTCATATGTGCAGAGAGCAGCCACCACTCTCTACACGTACGTTAACCCTTTAAAAAAAACAATTTGCTTTAAGGCGCATGGGCTTGCCAGAGACAAAGTGAGAAATCACCCCCATGGGGGGTGACCATGCCGCAGTCCCTTCTCTGTTCTCTTCTTGGAATCCTGGACATGTACACACATGTACCTGGCGTGAGTTTTAAGCCACCGGGTCCGGGACTTGCACCTCTGTCGACTATGTGGGAGCCCAGCAACGTGACCATTATGCCATCTGCTCATTCCTGCATACATCAGCTTTTAAAAAACAACTAAAACTGAGTTAGGAAAGATCGTTTCCTAATAGTAAGTGTCTGGTGAGCTCCTTGTTTCTGTGAGGTGACGTCTCTTCAGTTTTTTGCTTGTTCTCTCGCACTCACATGTACAGGGCACCACGTGCTGTGCTGGGCTGCACAGTAAAGCCGGACGTCTCTGGGTGCATTCCAGCAGTAGTTTGGGGAGGGGTGCTGGTGTGAGTTGCGTGGTCCCTATTGTGCTTCTGTTTGGCATGGGAAAGGCAGAGGGTGGCCATTAGGCGGGACCGGCCACTCTGGGGGCCCAGGCTGACGACGTCCCCCTCCCCCTCATTTCCCCAGCTCTGCAGTCCTTCATCCGTGCCTACGCCACCTACCCCAGGGAGCTGAAGCACATCTTCCACACCCGCTCCCTCCACCTCGGGCATGTGGCTAAGAGCTTTGGGCTACGAGATGCCCCCAGAAATCTCAGTGCCGTGGCTGTGAAGAAGAGGAAAGTAACCCTGAAAAGGTGAGGGGACTGAGAGTCCTGGGGAAGGTCTGGGGTGTGGGGGGCCCCAGCAGGCCAGCAGCAGCATCCACCTCTCACATCATAACCACGGGACAAGACGAAGGTGCCTCACCTTGCAAAAATTCAGCCTCTCCTCTTGGGCCCAGAGAAGTGGGACTCGCTGGAGCAGCCAGCCAGGCCTGTGTCCACTGCCCGCCAGTGGGCTGACTGGGCTCGCCTCCCAGCATTCCGTGTGCTCCCTGTGCCTGCCCCAGTGGGGTGGGGTTGGTGCTGCAGCGACTCACAGGTTCTAAGCTGCTGAAGCCGAGGTGTGCATCGGCCTGGCTCCAGGGTCAGCACGTGTGGCTTCCCGTGGCACTATGTGTCACCAGTGCTGGGTGCTGGCAGATGAGAGCAGAGGCAGGGGCCTTGCCCTGCGGGTGAGAGGCCTGCCCACACTCACCCTCATAGCGCGGAGACGGTTTTCCTCACAGGCTGCCTTTGCAAAGTTCTCTCTCTCCTCAGAGATGGCGCTCCTTCGGTGCCAGACCCAGCCTCTCCAGAGCTAGTGCATCCAAGCCACCACGAGCTGTCCTTGGGGGCCCAGGGGTAGCGTGGTCGCTGGGCAGCCTGTGGGTGGGAAGGACACCCAAGCAAGCGTCTGGGGACATGGCGGCCTTTCTGTCACGGGCCCTGGTGTCAGGGTGGAGTCCCTGAGAGCACGTCTGCACCCCGACTACAGTCACCACTCTGCAGCGTGTCTCACGGTATCCGGCTTGCTCCACCCAGCGCTGCCTTGCCCCTTCAGCCCTGCCAGGACCCAGGTCCTCAGCCTCCTGGGGAGATGGGAGAGGGACCACCCAGTGCTGGGAACAGCTATGTTCTTAGAGTTGGGGGCCCTGGATTTACGTGCGGTCCATCCTGGTGGGGGTTTAGACCATGTCTTCATGTCTCGGAGCCTCAGTTTCCTCAGCCACAAGACAGAGAAGAAAGTGCGTGCTTGTAGTGATTTATTTTTTTAGAGAGGTTTTTGCTATAGGGCGCGTGCGCTCGCCAGACAGACAGAGAGACAGACAGAAAGTGAGAAATCACCCCCCAGGGGGGATGGCCACGCCGCAATCCCTTCTCCTCCATTCTCCTCTCGGGATCTTGGGCACGCACGCACACATGCCCAGCGTGAATTGAAGCCACCGAGTCCGGGACTCAAACCGCAGTCGATTACGTGGGAGTCCAACGACATAGCCATTATGCTAACTGCTGGTCCCGCTTGTAGTGATTTCACAAGGTGGTTTTGAGAGTCAGGATTAGGTGATAGGCATGGGTCCGCCCCTTGACCCAAGCAGTGCCATGCAGACGAAACTTCTTGGACAGAGCCGGGACACAGACACGCTAGGCCGCAGAGACGTCCAGGTGATCCAGCTGGAGCTGGTGCCTGGGCTCTTCGTGGCGGATGCAGTGTTGCCCAGTTCTGCCCCAGCTTTGGAATGCATAAGCGGATGGTTTTCCCTTCTATCGGTATGGCTCATACAGGACTGAGCCCACGAACCTGCAAAACTATTTCTCCTTGTGCTGCCACGTGGCCAGGCCCAGGCGAGAGTGGCACAGCCAGCTCTTGCTTCTCACAGGCAGCGTGCAGGTGTGGGGTGCACAGAGGGCTGCCACCCAGAGACAGCCTGCCCAGCCTTCCCCCAGGCATGCCCAGTCTGGATTCTGGGCTGCAGTACCCTGGAGCTGGGTACTGTCTGGGTTTGGGAGCGCTGGGACCTGTGCACATCAGCTCTGGTTGTGAGTATGTACTGGGACCGTGGGGCTTTCCAGGCAGCGAGGAGATAACCCCGTGGTCAGAGGTCTGACCGGCCTGCCTCACCTCTAGAACTTGGAGAAGGGAGGGATAGACCGGCCAGATGATTACTGTTAAGGAACATATTGGATGGGACCAGCAGTTAGTGAGCGTAATGACTATGTCGCTGGACTTCCATGTACTCGACCGCGGTTCGAGTCCCGGACCCAGTGGCTTAAAACTCAGGCTGGGTGCAAGTGTGTGTGTGTCCAAGATCCCAAGAGGAGAGTGGAGGAGAAGGGATTGCGGTATGGCCATCCTGGGGGATGATTTCTTGCTTTCTGTCTCTGCCTGTCTGGCAAGCACACGCACGCTATAGCAAAAACCTCTCAAAAAAAGAAACAGATATTGGGGGGAGGAAAAAAAAAGAAACATATTGGGCCAGCCAGTGGTGTGGTGTTTAAGATGTGGACTTCCACATGGGTGACTGCAGTTCGAGTCCTGGCAGCTGGCTTTCTCACTCTCCCTCTGTGTCTCTCTCCAGTCAAATTGAATAATTAATTCACTTTAAGAAAAGAAGAAGACACATATTTTGTTTATATTTCCTTGTTAGCAGATGATCAGCCTCTGTGACTGGAAATTTCATTAGCAAGTGGTCATCCACATAGCAGCTCTTCAGACCAGAAGTTGCATTCTCAGTCCTCTGCTCCTGGCCAGATCCTAGAAAGCAAGTGGGATGCAGTTGGGAGGGGGGCCTCAGGGACAGCATTGTCCTTACCTTGAGAAGCCGCTAGGGAGAGAGCTGCCGCGGCTCCTGCTTCAGTTGACCCTTGCTGGCAGATGGGCACCAAGACCACTCTACCCCTGCGAGCAGGGGATTTAACGGGCTTTATTGAGGAAAGAATGGGCTGATTAGGCGGTAAAGAGCATGTAAGATGGTATGGGGCAGCCTTTGATGTCTGGCTGGCTCGGCAGGGAGCCGGGTGGTGAGTGACAGCAGTGTGTCACAGGATTACCCCGCCCGTGACAATGCCGCTCTGTGTTCTTGCCATGTCACCACTCTGTTCAAGCTCCTTTCTCTGTCGTTATGCCCTTCTTTTGAAGGCATTTCTCTGCCCGCTCCTTCCCTGCCCGCTCCCCACCCCTGTTTCCAGTGCAGACGGACACTCGGGTACAGTAGGCATCTTTTTTGATTTGGGGAAGTCTTGTCACTTCTGGAGGAGGAATGACTTTGCAGCTAATCTGCGCACAGACCGTATAATTGTGGTCAGGGTGAGCGGCAGAGAGAACTTGACAGATTTTCCACACCTCTGTCGGGGCTCAAGCAACTGCCAGCCTCCGCTTTTTGAGGACTGGAAAGAAAAGTCCATTAAACCACAAAGTGCAGAGTGCTGCCACGGCCACGATTGTCGTTCTGAGCCGAGACGTCTCCTCTGAGGTCCATCTGTCGGGAGAGAGAATAGGTTCCTTGTGTTTCGCTAAATTCCCGGCCCCACCCCACATCCCGCTTTCCGGCATTCGCCGAGCATAGTTACTCACTGTGCACGACCTGCGGTGTCGGCAGCCAGTAAGAAAGCCTGTCTCACCTGCCGCACGCCGGTCAGGCCGGGGACCCGGAGGCATGGCCTTGCGACGACAGAGGGAGTTCTGGTCTCACATTGTCTGTGCTTGCTTACTAGGCCACTTTTCAGAAAAAGAAAATAAATAGTTAATGTCCCCAAATAAGATCTCGATAACCAGGTCTGTGTTCTGAAAGGGAGGCCTCAATGTCTCCCTGCACACGGAGACTCCTGACACCTGTGTGTAGCCTGTCGGGACAGCCCCACCTAGATGCCACATGCCTGGGCCGTGTGCACAGATGGGCGTGCTGCTGGGAGAGCGCATGGCCCCTTAGCGGCTTCTGCCTTGAAACAGCATTTTCCTTTTGCAGAGTGCGGTTTTATATTGCGGCTGGGTGGGTTCAGCCATTCTGGAGAAGCTAAGGTAACTCTTCCTTCCCACGGCTCCGCTCCGGGAGGTGAGAGCGCAGGGTAGTGTTGGCTATGGCATCCGTCTATCTGTCTAGGCAGTCACACAGACAGGTAGAGCGTGTCCAGGCATTGGCGTCATCTCGTCTGCACTGTGCGGATGGGGTCCGGAGCCCAGCGGGAGCCGGCTGTCTGCTACCGCCCCGCCCACGTGACTC